TATTATTTAGTTAATGGAGTCTTCTAACACCCGACATCTTCCATAGTCGTACTTGTTTGGCAGGCGACATCCCGGGTCACACAGTTCTGCCAGGGTACGTCACATTTCGGCCCCTCCATTCGCTTTATTTTTTTCTTTCTAGCTGTAGGAATCTTAATCCTTCCAGTCTTCTTCTTTTCCTTTTCATATAAACTAGTCGGACATAAAATGGATTTCTCCACTTTTTCTCCTCATCATTACTTCCATTTTTAATTCAGTACTTGCTAATTTTTACTAGTATTTTTTAAAGTTTTATTGGCTACTAAGCAACTGCATTTTTCCATCGTGCCATTTCATGGCCGCCTTTCTCGATTTCCATGGGTTAAATTTTTCTCCTTTTTACATTTACTTTAAGTACTTTGAATGTAAATTACAGTAAACAAAAAAACCAAGGTAGATAGACACTTAACAAAGTTACTGCAGTAAAACTGTTAAAGAGTACGTGTAATAAATTGTTTACTCTCATATTTTGACTAAAATCTCAGCTGAAAATGGAAATTAAACCACGAAATTGTAAACATAAACAGATAACGTCTTAAGAAACAATACGCAAAAGCTGCAATATCATTTACACAAGTCACTTAGAAGTTTAGCCTACTTTTACGAAGTTCATCCGGATCATTTCCAGATGCTTCCGTATTGCACAGTGACAATGCGCCAAAGCCGCTGGAATTCAGCCATAACTCAGAGATTTCGCCCGTAAAAAATTTCACACCAAATTGAAGTTGGAGGCAGCATACATTCTAACAGTTTTATTGCATTTCATTTAAAAGCAATTTTTCTGTAGACTCGAAAATGTGGTGAAGTAAATATATGAAAAAAAAAAATATTGTTTTTTGGAAAAAGATGTTTTTTGGAAAAAATCTTTATTTTTGAAAGAGATATGTTTTTAAAAGATATAAATTTTCTGCAGTATACTGAAGCTCGTTTAGACTGGCGGCGCCACTTTTTTTCCTACCGAGTGGCGAGAGCCTCCGAAAAGTCCTGCCTACCAGGGTCGAGGAGGGAACACCAACTTAAGCAGGGTGCTACATGATAGAATCCGGCATGAGCTAGCAGCAGCCGAGCAGCACTGTTCAGTTTGTCGACGTAGCGCATATGTGTGCTGACGATGGGAAAGGAGTTGTTTTATACAGGTGACGAAAGAGTACGAAAGAGTCTGTGAGGTAAAGGACAGTAGGGCAGGGGATGAAAACCGCGAGTCATGAAGAAATAGATAGAATGCGTGTAAGGTGCTGTGCAAGCCAAGGCAGCAAAGAATGGTGTGCTCAAAAAGTTTAGAGACGTAGCGTCTACTTGTGCGTGGGAATTGGAGCTCTCGGGTAATAGCAAAAGAAACCATTTAATTACCCAGTGTCCAACTCTGCTGTTTAAACATATGCACTGAAAAGCACAAAAGCAGCTCGAGGCTTATGATGGTGTCCCCATTTAAAGAATTTTCTGTAAACTGAACTGCATTGAGAAGTACACTGGCAATCTTGAAACTAGTTCAGATCCTGCCATAAGAGCGTACTGCCGGACAAAAGGCACAAGGGTAGCAGCAAGCCTATGTTCAACTACAATAGTAAAAGCACTTGTTACTGCCCATTCTGGTACCTCCAAAACACCACTGACGCAGAACAAGCTTTCCTACACTATCTACCCTCAAAGCCAAAACTGTCCCAGCATTTTCGACGAACACACCGTATCCGCCTAACTTAACAGAATTCGCCTGAAAAAGAGATGTATACATCCCGAATCACCTTGAAATAAGCAACAATAATAACGGAGCTTATCACACTGTCAGCTTCGCGGCCATTTGCATTGCAGTTCCTAAGTACAGAGTCTTGCAAGCCTGTGACCAGTAGTAAGATAAATAAGTTTTTTTGGTTTTAAATCCCCTCTCGAGAAATGTCCTTATACAAAATTCCACTCTTTTTCTCCAAAGCATCCAATGTACCTTCTCAGCGTCACATCATCTTCATTTCTGTTGACAGTAAGGCTTATTCCGTTACCAGAAAGATATACACACTATACAAAAACGAAGCGAAGGAACTGAAGCCATGTCTCAAACTTTTCAACAGAAATTGATTACTTTTAGCCTGACAGACACACTTCAATATGTAGCGGAAGCTGAAATAACTTTAGTAGAGATTAATATGGCCAGCCGATATGAATAGAACCAGCAGCGACAACAGAACACCTTAGCACACAATCACCTGCGCCATATAGTACTGCCCCAGCAGCGCATTCTAATTAATAAAAAAATAATTTTTGCGCGATTGCATAAAGAAGAAGGTACTGTCAGCACGCGAAGGACTTAGCGCGAGCAACGAAGGCGACGAGATTTGGTGGTTAGCGCAAAGCAGAATCAGGTTTAATGATTATTGTTAATGCTGTTGAGATTCTTAGTCATTTTTCAACGACCTAATTTCACTGACGGAACTTTCATTATCGTACCGCATTTACACTAACTTATTTTATCGTGTTTATTCCGACGTGACTTTATTTCTTCACCGTTGATGGTTTATTATTGCTTTAAAATGAAGCTTGGGAGAAGCTCGATCACCAACGCATAGTAGCGCTAGCACTAACTAGTTTAGAGCAAATATTTTTCACAGGAAGAAGAGGGAAGAGGAACAATCTTTGTAAGCTCTGCTTCCTCCTCTATTCTCGCCTACCTGTTTTGTACCTGCCTTCTAAGAACGACCTTTGCCGTTCCTTTTTCAGCCTCATTTTTCTCAACCGGAAAGTTTTTGTCAGCCACCTCACATTCAAAGAACCAATCCAGGATATATATTTGTTAAATTTTGTTACCCTCCCTGTTCCTTACATACAGGTCTTTTCATTTCGTGATTACCCCTGAACATACCGCCAAAAAGATATATGTATCTGCTGCAACAATTCCAAGTTTTCAAATATGAAACTTGTTACGAGCTTCACGCCCGGACAGTTTTTAAGTGTTCATAATCTCCATTCTGGAAAGACCCTATGTTCGTCAGAACGCTCTAGTAATAATTATTTGGATACACTTGTCTAACTAAAATAACCTGTCGTTTTTTTTTTTTGACTTACATGTCACTTCTTGAGCCTATCCGTGTTCCTCGTAAATAGCTCCTGCACCTCCGGGGTTTTTAGTTCAACTATTGCATTCATTCTGAAACCAGTCTGTGTCCTTGAAAGGTTTTAAAAGCGAGCTACTCAGCTATGTTGAGTTCATACCTTATTAGGTCGATATCTCACGTTCTGTGCCCGTTCTTTCCGCTGCTTTCTATCCTGTTAAAGCGTGTACAAAGGATTTTGTGATTTAGCAGCGCGTAATGCAAATATATGTACATCCCTAGGGGAAAAAAAACAAAAGGAAAGAAAAGATTTCAGCTCATAAAACTGAACCTCGACCAATGATCAAACTAAAACAGTTAAGTAGCTTGCTATTAGAACCTTCTACCAAGCACGAGCTGGTTCCGGAATAAACGTCCTGGACGGATGAAAAACCTTCCGGAAACACAAAAAAGGTAAAGAAGCAGAAAGAAGGCATGCAACTCAAGTACAGACCAGTGGCTCTTAATCGAACCAAAGCAAACTAGTAGCCCGCTGAAAGGGTTTTCTAAAAAACACGGACTGGCTCCGAGATGAGTGTCCCAGACGGATGAAAAACTTTCAGAATCACAGTAGAGCTTTGCAAGAAACACAGGTGGGCCCAAAAAAGTAATATTTAAATTTAAAAAAAAAAAAACAGGTCATCCCTAGTCAGACTAGTGTACTCAACTATTCGTTATCATAGCTTTCTAACGACCATAAAGTATCTCCAGGACGGAGATCTTGAATACTTGGAAACCGTTCCGGACTCACGTCCGTAACAAGTTTCCAAAATTTTCCAAACAGTTACTTTGCCCATCTTTTCGGCAAGATCTTCAAAAGCAGTTTGGAAATGAAAAGGCATATATCCCCACACGACCGACTCTGGACGGGTTGCTTTGGTCGCGCATCAGCAAAGTGCGGAGGTATCCCTCACCGTTCTCAGTAAATCAGACATACTTCTTACCGGTATACTGCACCAAAAGAGCAAGTTCTTGATTAACATTATCTCCCCCAGCCAATCAGTGTGTTGAGGTCATTAACCTAAACGAAAGCCAAAAATACAGTCTTCCTGTTACGATATCACAAATTACTGTGGGATTGGTTAGGAAAAGATTTTGGCTTGCGTTTTTTCCCAATGATATCACAACACGAGCTCCTAAACCACTATTAATAATTCTTTAACAATGCTGCAAATTAATGGATTTTTGGAACGATAATGACAAAACAGTATTTATTATCAAAAGCCAGCATTGAGTCTCAAAAATTCAGAGAAGAATTTAGCAAGAAAGTAAAAAGTACAAGTCGGAGAAGCGACCGTAATAGTACTTTGTTTAAAAAACTTTTACATCACTTAATAGTAAAAAGTACATGTTATCCACTTAGCCGGAGTGAGGTATCCTTTAGTATAACGGTATTACAGATAAAATCAATACGTTGCTGTTTGCAGAGACCCAAAATGCTGCGTCAAATGCAAGTTCTGTCGAACCCAATCTCTGACAGAATTTTAGCTCCCGTTACCATATAAAAGTACCACTTTATAATTACAGTATGATAAAAATTTAGTTTTCTAAAAAAAAAAACTAATTCTTTCAAAAAAGATATCAAGTTAAAATGTCCCTTCTTTAAAAATAACATTTCGAAAGAAAACGTTTTGAATTTCCATTTTTGTATTAAGTTAAAATGAAATTCGCTATCGTAAGCGTTTTACCACTTTTCTGTTTCGCAACGGTCTAACTTTGCAGCCAGCACACTTTTTGAGGTAAACTCTTTCAATTTCAAAATCCAGTATCAAGTGCTACAAGTATGCAAAAAATGAAAATAATCTGTGAGGTCGAGGTGTAGAAGTGTGCGACTTGGCATGAAATGGCCCATATATATGAGACAAAATTACGATATGAAAGTCACCTGCAACATTGCCTTAGAGCCTGTTCCATGGCTTCTCCGCCACGACATACTGACACACCGCAATTGCCTTTAGTAAAAGCAATTCCACTATAAAGGTGTCCTCCAGGTGTCTTGACGTCAACGTCGGTAAATGGTAACCTGTTCAAACCTTCTTCAACCACTAACCTTATTAAGCGATTGGCGTAAAAAACGAAATCAGAATGGCCCGTGTTCCTGAAATAGCCAGAATTTCCCAAATTTGATGCCATTATTTTCAGATGTCAAAACAAAAAGAAAAATATTGTTGGCAGCCAGCTGCAAAATTTTAAGGAGGCTTACTTTCTCGATAAATAAATCAAAGAACTTGCAGAAACAATGCTCTGAAATAACATTTCCAAATAGTGGTTGAAAAAATCAATGAGCTTTAGAGGAACAGTAAAATGACATATTTGCAACTTTAATTCAAGAAGTCGAGGAAAAATTAATTTTCCAGTAGAATAAAAAAAATTAAAATTTTTAGAGGTAAACTCCAACTATGACCTGTTTACCTAGTGCAATTTTGTGAATGATTGTGTTCCTGTAAGAATCTTCATAAGTGTTTCTAACCACAGATACAAGCGTTAAAAAGTGAATGAAAGAAGTTCTTAAACTTTTACGCCTCTTAAACAACAAAATAAACAAAAAAAGATAAATTTATATAAAAATGGCAATGTACTCTGGAAGACAGACTACGCGAAGTGGAAAATATGGCTGAACGAGGTGACGAAGGACAGAATTATCTACCCGAGGCAGTGAGTAAACTTTCAGTGGAAAGCGAGTATGAGAACTGAAGATAAGTGTTGGAAAATCGCCCTCTTCTCCTCTCCGCAGCACTAAGCAAATGTTATGAGTAACTTAAAGCCACGCCATGTGCATTGCTGAGACACTGTTCAGCACTGTCAGACTTCACTTTACTAGGTTCGGCAACTTCCTCCTCCCTTTCGTCAATTGAATACATAAACTTTATTCTCTAAATAGCAGATCCTCTTCTCCATACTTCAGGTATCCTATCCAAACTAAAATCAAATTGCCACTTAATATTAATTACTCTCTGCTTGTTCTTGGAGCTTTCTACTGAACATAAGCCAGTTTTGGAACGAATGCCATGTACGGATGAAAAACTTCCAAAAAACATAAAAGAAAGTTTAAAAAACATGAACGCAGGTAACCCAAAAAGTGATCGGTGACCCCTAACCGAACTAAACCAAATTAGTAGCTCCGCTCTTAAAGCTACCTAGCAGAAATAGAGTGGTTCCGGAATGGATAACCTTGATAAATGAAAACCGTTTCGGAGCCCAAAATATATCACACTGAATGTTTTTTGACTGGTAGTATCGTTTTGCTATTTTTGTTTTCATCGTTTTGTAGTATAATGCAATGAATCTTTTTATACGTCTGTCTCGCAAATCTACGCGAAAACACGGTGGTGGAAGACACTCCCTGCCTTTTATATCCTTGTAAAAATACTGGGATCACTAGTATTTTTTTCATTAGTTTGAAGCTCATTTCTAGAGATCATTTTGAGTTCCGTTTTAAATTGAAAGTATCTCTTTCATGCTAGCAATCGTTACTAGTCTTGTCAAAATAACTCCTAGTCCCAAATTAACACGGCTCCGGAAGTGACAGAAAAACAATATTTACAATCAAAAACAGTACTGAATGCGATACGTTTGGGCCAGAAGGGTTCAATAAGCAAAGAACTTTGTAAAATCGTTTGAAAATAAATAAATGTCAACTGTTTGTCCGTTACTGAAGTGGTTTAGTTGAAGAGTTTTACAAGAATTACATATATTATTATAAGCAATAAACTTTCCGTTGAAAGACAGGTTCTGCCACCTGCGAATGCGCCAAAATGCTGCTTTAGTTAGGGATTTTTTCCTGTCTACTATCACTAATCGCACCATAAGTCTTGATGTAGAAAAGACACCAATTTGAAATTTTTACGTGTTGTGCAAAAATTGTGTCATTAAAAAATATATTTCTTTTAAAAAATTTAAAATTTTGCTTCTTGAGAAAAATCTTTTTGAATTATCGTTTTTATTTTAATTTAGAATAAAATTTGCTACTGCAAGCGTTTTACCACTTTCCTGAATCTGCAGAAGACAGTGTTTTAAAAGAATCAAAAAAAGTAAAAACAAAAAATTCCGCTGCAAAGAAAGGAAACTACAAGTTTTTAGACGCGTCCGTGTCAAGAGTAAATTGGTTTTTTTTTGCAATTAATAACGGTCTAACCTTTTCCTTTTCGTTTTTTTCCTACCAGTGTATTTTTTGAGATAACCTCTTCCAATTTCAAAACCCGGTGTCAGCTGCTACAAGTAGGCAAAAAATGAAAAAAACCTAAAAGGTCAAGGTTCAAAAGTGTGCGACTTGGTGTGGAATGGCCCGTATACATAATTATATTTGATAAGATTTCAGTTAAAAGAATGCAAAAAACACAGATGAAGATTTCTCGCTGTATGCCGTCACCAACTACTTCGTAATTCCCGATATCATAAAGACGTCACCTTGTGGTTCTAATATTTCATACAGAAATTATAACTTAAAAAATATAATTTTTTTAGAAAATTTTGAACATAAATTTCTTTAAATAAAACTTTTTAAATTTTAATTCAATTGCGATTTCCTATGCAATTTTTCAGCATAAGCACTTCACCACTTTTTTGAGTCGACCGCTCACAGCCTGTCCAATAAAGTAAGAACTGAATAATCCCATTGCGAAATAACAAGATTAGTTTTCCAAAGATAACCATGTTTGGCAGGAACTTTTTTGGATTCACAGTCGGATATCAAGTGAAATAAATAAGCAAAAAATAAGAAAACCTGAGAGACTGAATAAAAAATGCACGATTTGACGTCAAATCGCAAATATATATGAACCATTCCACGTCAAATTCCACACTTCTTTCTCTTCATATTTTAGATTTTCTTTAAATTTTGCTGATTAGTAGAGTCCAGGCG